GGCTATGGGAGCAGATGTGGTCAATGCTGGGGAAGGTCCAGGCACCCAGAGACTGATCTTGATCCGCAGTCGGAAAAGTTCACAGAGCCCACAACTTGTCTGAGTCAAGAACAGTGTGGGCCTGGAATGTGAAAGAAAGAAAAGAGGGTCCAGAAAGCTTTTACAGCAGATAAACACCGATAAGGTATTTGCCTAGCATGAGACTGGTCAAGATTTATTCCCTGGCATCCTATAAGGCCTGATGAGCCTCTCCAGCAGCGATCCCTAAGCATAGAACCAGGAGGAAACACTGAGCATTGCTGGGTGTGGTCCAATCCACCCCACTCCCTCCCAAAAGAGTGTTTGGGGCACCGAGTAGCCCAATGGCTTAGAAAACATGAATGGTGTGGTGTGGTCATGAGTTCGTGGTGCATTGAGCGCAACCCTGGAACTGTGATCTTTGGCATTGTAAGTGGTTTCTGACCACTTTGCAGCCAGTTATGGGCAAATACTGCAACAAAAGCATGTGCCCACGGGTAAGACTCAAACTAGAGGTGTGTCAGCCCTGCGGTCAGGAAGTACAATCACTGCCAAACCGATGTCAAGCTCCCCAGTGAACCCCAGTGAGCACTGCATCTACAATGGGTGTGAGGAACTCAGTTAGAAGAGCACAAGCTCTTGTGAAGACATATGCAGGCACCACAACTGAAAGAAGTGCAAGCCTGGAGGATACCACAGTTGCCTCTGCAAATGCCACACCCTGGGGAGCACCACAGTGAAATGTTTGAATGGCACAGACAGGGATATGGGGGACGCCCCAGTTATCAGAATAGCAACAGCAAACAGGAAGGAAGTGAAATAAAATTTTCAATGAGAGGGCATGCTAAAACAGGGCTATAAATATTATGGTATTCTTTAATTTACAACTTTTTGGAACATTATGCTTTTAACATGCACAACAAATAATATCATTTATCTAAAATTATTGTTTGGGGGGGGATATTGGGGCCACACTCAGCCTTGCCCAAGACTATTACTGGCTCTGTGCTCAGAAGAGTCCCTGAGTTTGGGGATGAAACCAGGGTCAAACACATGCCAGGCAGGCACCTCACCTCTCTTTCCAGACCCTACATAAAATTCTTATGAAAATTAGGGGCTGTTATTAAAATATGAAGATAGCTCAATGGGCTGAGCGAGGTTTCAATTTAATCCTGGCACTGCATGATGTTCCAAGGACTTGCAGGAGCAATTCTCGGGCACAGTGCTGAGAACTTCTGTGATGGCTCCAAAACAAAAGCCAAACCAAACCAAACCTACGGTCTATACTCAGGGCTTGTAAGTAAAGACACTGATGGGAACTATATGCAGTGCTGCTCTTAGTGTTGCAGATATCTCGGCTGACATCTTGGAAACAGTCCCATGCAATTAACTTCATTGTCGTCCCCACACACTGAAAGAAGCATCAGGGAGGATGATTAACTTATCTAAAGTCTTCTAATTAATGATGGGGAATGGAGCAATAGTATAGTGGGTAGGGTGCTTTCCTTACATGTAGCCACCCCAGGTTCCATTCCCAGCATCTTGACATCCCAGATGACCTCCCAAACCCATCAGAAATGATCCCTGAGTGCAGAGCCAGGAGTAACCCCTGAGCATCACTAGATGTGACTCCCAAACAAAAACAAAGCAAAACAAAAAAAAAAGTCTTATTAGTCATGAGAGATGGCCTGGCACTGGAACCAGATGGCTGGCTGTCCACAAGAGCGACGCATCCCCTGTAGTATCATGCATCCTGCATGTCACAGGTGGCTTCTCCCAAGGAGTTTTTCCTGGCTCTCCTGCATGTTTACCAGTTTCTCCAGACTGTGGAGGATCTTGGGGTTGGCATTTCATGGCCCTCGTGGGATCTACTTCTCCCAGGATGGCCCTGAAGGACTCACTGTGACTGGAATGAGAGAATCCAGAGAAGGAGGATCTGAGCATGCCTTAGACTGGGAAGAACTCTAGAAGTTAGGGTTTCAGTCCCTGGACAGTCCTTTCACCACTCACCCAAGCCCCTTTGTTCTTCTACATGGAACCTATAGCGTTTTGAAAGAGTACTGATACACATGTTAGAAAGCTAATTAAGTTCCTGGATCTGTCACCTGTGAAATCTTGATAAAGTGACTTTATGTCTCTGAGACTTATTTGGTTTTTTTTCTATTCCTATGTATGTGCACACATATGTGGTTCTGGGTATTGAACCCAGGATCTCACACTTGTAAGGAAAGTGTTATATTGCTGAACTACATCTGTGATCCTTTGTGATCCTTTTTAGTTGTTTGTTGAGGGAGGGTCCTAAGTGGTGCTTCTGAGGTCCAGGGTCCCCTCTCAGAGAATCTGAGTCAACAGAGCTAGTGGTTCAGTGTCAGGGTCCAAGGATGTGATGCTGCTTGAGCTCTGCAGTGCCAAAAGTTTCCAAAGTCAGCCTGGCAGTGCTCAGGGGACCATGTGGTGATGAGGATTGAACCAGAGCTGGCCACAGGCAAGGTAAGAGCCTTAGCAACTGTGCTATGGCTCTGCTCCTGGTATTTTAGTTTCTGTTTGTCTGTAAAATGGAAATGAAAATAACTGCTACTATTTATTGAACCCTCATTGTACACCAGGTCTTGAATAATTGATAATGCTTGTGAGACATCATTATAATATTCTGATCCTTTCCATAAATGCTATTTTCTCTTTGGTTACTTCTATTATAGCTAATGTTCTCCTTTTATCTGCTCCCAGATGACACAAGGCCCTTGGACTTCTCTATAGGCTCTTGTAGTCTTTTCTGTCATCTCCCAGAAAGTGCCAGGAGGATATGGGGTACAGGAAGTTGAGTTTAACGTTGGCACCTTCATTCACTATCATATCACTTTATTATCATTTTAACACACCTTTTAGTGAAAGGATAGGCTATCTCAAGGATGGTGGACAAAATGTAAGTACTCAATGAGTTATTATACAAATCATTAGGGTTTGGTGAGTCGTTCCAAAAGAACTTCCTTTGTATCTACCACCCAGTAAAAAAAAATAGAAAAATATCAGCATGTTTTGTCCAATCTGGGCCTCCTCCCAACCCCTACCACCTCCTTCTTCCCTGTGTCTTATCTCTGTGTCGTGAGAGCCCAGTATGTGAACCTTGTCAGAAGGCCCAGAAAATATTTGCTAAACTGAACTCAGCCTCTTTGAAATCATTTTGTGATCTTGAGCTAGTCACTTAGACTTTCTTGGTCTTTTTTTTGCTCTTCTGCAGAACAGGGGCAACATTTTAGTAATTTTAATAGTTGTCAACCCTAAATGTACAGTAGAAGGAGGTATGTATATGCAGGAGCTTTTGAAAAACTAGCCTTGTCTGGGTGATTCCATGGAACAAGAACAACTGAATTCAAATCTCTGGATGTGGGTACCAGGTAATGTGTGTATGTGTGTGTGTATGTGTGTATGGGGGATGGGGTAGAGAGAGAGAGGGGAGTTTTGGGGCTATACCTACAGTGCTTGGGGCTACTCTATATGAAGCCTATTTTCAGACCACTGAGTTCTCTTTCCAGTCCAGGCAATGGTAATGGTATTTTTTAAAAGTTTTTCAGGACCAGAGGGATAGTACAAGAGTTAAGGCACTTGCCTGGCATGTGGCTGACCCTGATTCAATCTCCAGCACCCCATATGGTTTCCTTAAGCACCCAGGAGTGATCTCTGAGTACAGAATTGTGCCATCCTAGGAGTAAGCTCTAAGCACTGCTGAGTGTGATCCCAATTCGCGCCAAAAGTCCCCCCCCCCCCCCCCCCCCCCCCCCCCCGGTGGAATCAGGGAGAGTCTCAAAGTGTGGAGTGTCACCTTTTCCAACTTTGATCCCTGGTACTGCATGGTCTCCTGAGAACCTCTGGGAAGCATCTCCAAATATAGCTAGGTATGACTTCCAAATTAAAAATACCAAAAGCGTTCCAATTATTCCAGTATACAGCCATGATCTCTTCAATCTTATGAACCCAAACCAATAGTGCATATCCAGATCTCAGTTCTACTAGTGTTGTGGTTTGAATTGTGTCCTTCCAACTGATGTTGAAGTCCTAACCCCAATAATTGTGAACATGACCTTATTTGGAAATAGGACCATTGAAAACGATAAGATGAGGTCACTAATGTGAGTTCCTAAAACAGCCTGACGGATGTCCTTATAAAGAAGGGGAAATTCAAGGTTCAGAAAAATGGGGGATGTTGCATGTGGTGTTATAGTAACACAATGGCAGAACACTAAAGAATGCAGCAAATGTTAGAACTAGGAAAGACAGAACAAATTCTCTGTGCTTCAGAGGTCTCAGAGGAAACAGTCTCGCAACATCTTTGTTTTAGAACTCCAGTTACAGTATATAAAGCAATGCATTTCTGTGTTTGAAGCAATCATTCCCCCCACATCCCCCCCACACCTCTGTGGTATTTTGTTACAGCATCCTTAGCAAACTAATACGAGTTACATGCTAGCTAGGGAACTTTCTTAACCTGTTTCCTCACCTGCAGAACCAACTATAACAACTATTGCAACTATTACTTTTAGGTTCCATTCCGATGACCTAAGTTAGTCATCACAATATTCCTCTGATACTGATGCTACTATCTTCACTCGCCAGTGGAGAAGGCCGTGGACAGGAAGTTAAGTAACTTACTCAAGGTCACATGATAATGAAATACACAGAATAATAATATATGTTTCCCGGGATTAGTCGGACGCTTTCATGTATGTGACTGCAGAGATGGATATGAGAGCGCTTTGTACATGGCGAAGCGTTTTACGCGTAAGAGAATCTTTGTAGATTCTATGTGAGCTTCACCGCCTCCCTCCGCCCCCGCCCCTCCCACTTCTTCTCCATCCTCTGCGAGACTCCCTCCCTCGCGATAGGGGTCGCTGCGTCGTGCGGGCGCTGATGGGTCTCTCTAGCAGGCCGTGCCGGCTGCTCGCTGGTGCCTATAAATGGCAATCCTGGGTTCTGACGGGCAGCAGTCAGCCGCCGGCGGCGCTGGGGCCAGGCTTGGGGCGGAAGCCGGAGCTGGACACGGAGGAGCAGAAGCTGGGCCGGGGCGGAGTGCAGTGCCGCGCAGGACCGAAAGGAGGGGCGTGTTGCCGCTAGCCCCCTGCGAGCCACCCCCCAAGCCTGCCCCGAGGCGCCCTCCCACCAGGCCGCCTGCCTCCGCCTTCCGCCACTCTCCATTTCCCCGGAATCTCTGCCCGGCCGGCGCTCCTGCACTCCGAGACCCTTCCCTGCGAGGGCTCGCTCCCGACCGCTTTCCGCCTTCACTGCTGCCTTGCACCCTGGGCTTCCAGCCCCCTCTGTCCTTTTCCCGACTGGATCCCACCCTCTCCTTCCCCTTCCTTTAGCTCAGGCTCCCTGTTCCTTGCCCTAGCAGAGTCCCAGCTCCTCACTCACTTTGCTCTGGCTGCCAGCCCTCCCTCCTTCTCTTCCTTGCCCGGGGTCCAGCCTATCCTGTCCCTCTCTTCCTCTCTTCCTCTCTCGCCCTTTCCCAGGCCTGGAGTTGCAGACCTTGGGTCGCTTCCCGCGGTGCAGCCTGCGTCTTGTCCCTTTCCCCCAGCCTGGAGTTCTGGAGAGAACCCAGCCTTCCTCCACCCCCGGAGGACTGCTTCCATTCAAATACCTGAGACATGAACTTTCTCTAGAGACTGCCCCGGTGTCTCTCCCCACCCACTGAGCCTTGCTACCTATGTCCTGGGACTTGCTGTCACTTTGCTGAGCGTTGGCGTGTCCGGGGCTGAGTGAGCGGCATGCTGCTTCTGTGGTCTGGCATCTGCGGCCTCTCGCCACCGCGCATCTTCCCTTCCTTGCTGCTGCTGCTGGCCCTCCTGGGGCTGCCCCCCATTCTCAGGAGCCATGGCCTCCAGCTCAGTCCTACTGCCAGCACCGTCCCACCGCCGCGGGAACGCTCCATGGGGGATGTCACCACCGCCCCCCCTGATATCATCCCCGAGAGCCGCCCCGTTAACCGGTCAGTCACTGAGCATCACTTGAAGGCCCGAAAGGCCTTTCCAGTGCTGGGCATTGACTACGGGCACGTGCGCACGCCCTTCGAGATCTCCCTCTGGATCCTGCTGGCCTGCCTCATGAAGATAGGTGAGTCTGGTGTGTGCCACCCAACCCGTGAGCTTCTTGCTGCTTACATACGCCTTGACGCTCCACCAGTCCTGTGACACGCGGCATCCGTCCTGCAATCTCTGTCCTTCCCAGAGTGGAGCTCCCGCCTCTGCAGCCCGAGACCTCCCAAAAGCGGAGCCAGGCGGGGCTTGGGAGAGCAGGAGTCGATCCTAGGAGACCTTGGATCAGGAGCCAGGGCCTGGCATGCCTCTTTTGACTGGGTCAGGCTTCACAGGAAGCCAGGCACCCAGCTGTGTGTGAGATCGAGACAGTTGTCTTTCCAGCAAGTGTTGTGGTCTCTTCTGTTATTAGCAACCAGTGCCATTGCACGCTGCGTGGGGTGTATGTCTTAAAGTTTGAGTATAGTGGGGGACTTGTGTACTGCAGATCTATGGTATGGTGGAACATGGGGGATCCCCGTAATCCTTCATCCCTAGAATGTCAGCTGTCAACTTTGCCTACCAGGGTGGGGCAGACATCCCCCAGGAATGCCATCCCTCATGGGTTCATGGGCCAGTGGGTCAGGGAAACTTCTGAAGTTTATCTGGGAAGTGAAGGGGTCGTTCTGAAGGTTGAAGTTGGGTCTGGCCCCTGCTCACTCCGAGGTTGGCACTAGCTGTATCTCAAGGTGCTGTCTGGGCTGATCAGTCACGATGACCTGCTACTTAGCCAGGTGGGAAAAGGACACGCAGAGGGGTCTAGAGATTCTGGCCCAAGACTCTGTGAACCTTTCTGGAAGAAGGGAAAGAGTAAAGTTGATCCCTTCCAGGGGGCTTGGTCTCCCAGCCAGGCTACGTGCTCTGCTTGCTGGGTGATTGATGGGATTGGTGCTTGCAGAACCCAGAAGTCTCTGAAAGTGATATTGAGGGGCTTGAAAACTGCCTTTTCTTTAACCCCCAACTAGCTGTGGCAGGCATGGGGACCTGGGACTCTGCTGGTGGGGATTTGGGGAGTTGTGACTCTCGGCAGGAAGCTGTGCGGCTTTCCCAAGGACATGTGGGAGCCGGTAATGATGCTCAGCTGGTGTGAGCTGGGCTGGGGACCTGCTGCAGGAAAACGCTGTTCTGGCAGACCCGAGAGCTCACTGCTGGTGTGGAGCTGGGGTGCCCTGACAAGATCAGGGCCACCAGCACGCACCCTGACGGCAGCCAGTTTCCGGGGAAAATCAGGGCTGGGCCAGGGGAGCAGTGTGCATGGATACTGACAGATATATGACCTTGAACAAGCTGGGCCTTTTTCTGCCCTTCTCCCCCACCTGTGAAATTGACCAAAATTTCTAAATTTGACTCTTATCAATTGAGTCAGGAAGCCCGTGTCTTGTTGTCAGTGACCATGACGTGTCATTTGCTTGTGGGAGACCTGTCTGTAAATTACCCACCCCCTCCAACACACACACACACACCCCTCCCATTCATACTGGCCTTTTGTTAGGGCCCTGGGGCTGGGCCACACACTGAGTCTCTGCTTTCTAGTGGGAGGAGAGTAGGACCACAAAGACGTTTCTCTGGGGACTCAGGGGTTTTCCCTCAGGCCCAAATGGCTGGGACTGCTTTGTCACAGCCAGAACCTGTGTCTGGGACCCTGGGCAGCCCGAGAACAGAACAGGGACCATGGAAAGGTGCCTCACTCTAGACTAAGTTAGGAGATATGGCTTTTCTTCCCCCACCCTCTGTGACCTTGGGCCAGTCATGCCTCTCCTAAAAGCCAATTGATCTTTGTGTCCCCCTCCAGGTCTGACATTTCTGCCTTTCCACTGGGCCAACCACTTAGACTCAGGCCTCAGTTTTCCCACTGTAAAATGAGGAGGCTGGATATGATCTCTGAGGGCCTTTGGCTTGGAAAAACGTTTTTCTGCCTCTGAAAACAAAGGAGCCCTGGTATCTGGTCTCCTGGGGAAGGGAGTAGGGAAAGGAGCTCCAGAGATCCCAGGGTCCCCATTCAGGTGGCCAGAGTAAAAGCCCATTTGATGTGTATTTTGGGTAATACCTGGTGATTAATTTGGGGACTACTCTTGGCTCAGTGCTCAGGGGGTCATGCAATACTAAGGATTGAACCAGGGCTCTTGCATGCAAAGCATGTATTCCAGCCCATAGAACAAACTCTTGGTCCCAAACTAGGTATCTTTATGTTCATCAGCTTTCTTCTTTCTCGTTGCGGAGTTTTGAACCCAAGTCTCAGGCAAAGAAGCCGTGCATTTTGCTGTTGAGCCGTATCCCTAGTGGAAAGCCTGTTTTTTTTTTTTTCTTTCTCTTTGCAGCATGTAGAGCTGAAGTTAGACAAGGCTTCTGCCACGCTGCCGCTTACCCTCTCTTGATCTCAGTTTCCCCAAACAGGGGAGGGGTCTTGCCAGAGTGTGAAGGGTCTTGCTGAGACTGTGACAAAAATGAATATAGGCAAAACTGCCCTGTGCCTGCAGGAAGCCCTCGATGAGTGGGAGCTGGCCCTGTAGGGTTTTTTGTTTCTTTATTTTATTTATTTTTTTGCTCAAGCGGGGCCCAGTAGGGGGGGATTGGGGGCTTCCAAGTGGTACTCTGGAGGACTGGGGCCCCCCATCAGCGATTCTCCGCCAACCGGGTTGACAGTTTGATGCAAGGCTGGAAGACGAGATGCTGTTCAGGACAGGGATCCCTGGGCCACCCCAGTAGTGCTTGGTGGTCTCCAGGCCTGCACCCAGCAGTGCTTGGGAGCCCAGGTGGTGCCAGGGATGGAACTCAGGCACACGCCCAGCCAACCTAACTGCTGTGCCGACTCCCGCCCCACCCTGCAGGTTTTTAACCACCTAAGGCAGTGAATCCCCACCTCAGCCGCCTACAGTGCTCTTATGGCTGGAGGTTTTCAAGTTGCTCAAGCCTCCACTGTCACTGGGTATCCTTTCCTCAAGATTTTTGGGGTTTGGGGTGTGGCCTGCTGACTTTGTTCTTCCTTTGACTTTTGGGTTTGGTTTGGGGCTAGGATTTGAATCCAGGTCACCTACATGCAAAGCCTGGGCTCCAGCCTATTGAACTCTCTCTGGCCCCTTCCTTCCACTTAAACTGCCTCCAGTGTGTGTGGGATGTGGTAGGTGGGTTCCGGGGCAGGGGCCTGAGGCCGTGCTCCTTCTGCACCTTTCTACAACTAGGCTGGGTCTTGCCTAATCTTCCAGTGCCCTAGTGTGGGCAGGAGCTGTGTCAGCCTCATTCTGTCACTTCTGGCAGCTGTTTCATTTGCAAGGTGTACCCCTACTTTCAGATTAGAGAGTGCTGTTTGCTCCTGATTCCTTATCACTGAGCAGAGCCTCAGGTGGGTGCAGCCAGGGGTGGGTGTGGGAGAGGTGGGTTAAAGACTGAAGTTCCGGGGTAGATGCTCTGGGTTATTGTCTGACTAACTCCACTGAGTTAAAGTGGGTGACAGTAGGCAAATCTAGACCTTTTCTTCTCTCTCTTGACAGTCAGAGATTCTGGCTCTTTCCTGGGTGGGGAGGGGTAAGTGAAGCTTGGGACATTTTGAACCATTTTGGGTTTTTGTTTTATTTTGTTTGTTTGTTTTTTATTTGGGGGGGTGCACATTCAGCGTGCTCAAGGAACGATTACTCCTGGTTTTGCACTCAGGAATGAATCCTGGCAGTGCTTGGGGGGCCATATGGGATGCCGGGATCAAACCCAGGTCTTCCAGGCAAGTGCCCACCCCATTGTACTATCACTCTGGCCCCTCAGTTTGGATTTTTCTTTTGGGGGAGGTCACCGTGGTTTTCAGAGAACCAGCTGGGTTTGGAGATTGAACCTGAAGCTTTTCAGAGCATACACACCCCGCCCTTTGCACTGTCCAGGCCAGAGTCTTAGAATCCTGGGCAAGCCCTGAGTGATCCTAAGCCTTGGGTGAGGTCCACTCTCACTTCCCTTCCTCCTTGTGATCTGGGCCTTATGAATTCTGCTTTGTCCTGAGTTCACCTCTCTGTCCATCTTGGGCTTATTTCAGAAGACAGCCACATACTGACCCTGCTCACCACGGGCACCCCCTGCACAGTTTTTGCTCATATCCCTGACCCGGAACTCCTGGCAGAAGCTGGGGAGCCTATAAAGCAGGTATTCACCTTGTCTCCTGATCGGAGGCAAATAAGCCTCCCTTTGTCCCTTCTCATCCCTGTAGCTTTTTATGGTTTTGGTCTTTGCAAGGCATATCCTGCCATTTCCTCCTTAGAACAAGCCTGTGAGTAGGGGATCATTATCTGCTTCACATGTGGATATCAGCCCCAGCCACTGGTTCCTGTGAAAAGAAGACTAACTTGCTTCTTGCGTCTCATGAGGACACAGGAACAACTTAAAGGTCACCTTGAAACTGTCTCAAGAAGCCCAGATGGGACTCTCTAAAAAGAAGAGGCGACCTTTTTCTCTCTGGGTAAACAGCTAACTGAGGAGGAGACAGTGGGCAGGGAGGTCGGGAGCCTTCAGGTCTGACACGTGTCTCCAGAGCGCAGAGACCTTGGACTCCATTCGCCAAGTGCCCACACCTACTCTCCTCCCCACCCTGCCCCGCCTGCCAGCTGCCGTGTCAGGGAAGGATGAGGACCTCGGGCCTGTGTGGCCACAGACCAGGCACCTCGTTTCTTTGGGTCTAACTTGGCTGTCAGTGAGATGAAGATGCTGCCTCCGTCCTCTTGGCCATGGAGAGGGGGGCCGTGGGGGCGCCCCCAGTGCTCAGCTCACGGTAGTGGTTCAGGGCCTGCTCTGAGTCCTCCTGCTCTGCATCTTCTGCCCAGCCCAGCCCAGCACATGGCAGTTGCTTCCACTTCTCCCCCTGAACCCGTTTCCCTGATTGTCTCTCCACGGCTAGGCTTAGTCTCCCCTGTCACATCTCATTTGATGTGTATGCGTTTGTTTATAAGAATGACTGTTTGTTGGGGCTGGAGAGATAGCACAGCATGTAGGGCGTTTGCCTTGCACGTGGCCGACCCAGGTTCGATTCCCAGCATCCCATATGGTCCCCTGAGCACCGCCAGGAGT